ATTATCGTACAGCTGATTTTAAAGTCTCTCTTTTCCTCCTTCTGCTTCGACGAAATTTTCGATAGTCACGCGATAGAGATTAAATCTATTAAAACGGTAACAAAAAATCGAGTAAACGATCTCTCACCAAAATTTTACACGTTCAGTAAGTGCTTTGAGTACAGAGAGACTACTAGAAGTTGCACATTTTTTAGCACATTCTTTGCGCCAAACCACATCGTCGAATCGTAAGAAAGTAAATGTAAGTGGAATTCTAAATTTAGCATGACGAGGTAGCTTATCGGAACTACAATTTGTGTAGAGTACAGTAATCAAGCTTTCAACTCGATAATTGCCTAATAACGTAACAAAAAAAAATGTATAGAAAACGCCACTTCTTCTATTTCTCTCTTAAGCAAAAAAAATATCTTAAATAAAATTAAATAATATATTTCTAATCCATATTTTATAACTTGAATATTTCTGTTTAAAAACAAGATGATTATAATATAGAGAAAATTTAGAATAATGAAAATTTTATTTTAGTTTAATAAGTTTTAAAAATTTGTCTTCAAAGTCTAAGGCCGGTGTTCAAATTCCGTTCTTACTTCAAGATCGTCTTAAGTAATGTCTTAAGATGTTAATACAGCCCTCTGGTTGGTTTGTAGCATATTAAAACTGTGGGGAAAACCGAGCTACCATACGGAGGATCATGGGTCAATTGTTTAACTGTTAACATAATCTAGAATGTTTAAATTAATTCGACTATTACTTCGTTGCCCATACTTTTTATTTAAATGGCAGTGATTAAATTCCATTGTATCGAAAAATTCGATCATTAATGGTTTTCGTGGTGCAATAATAACTTTTTAACCACATAAAAATGTTTTAATATTGTTTTTGTAGTAGAAGATACACATGTATGAAGATAAAGTGCAAGTTCTTGCGCATCTTTTCTAATCTTACTACGTTACAATTAATAATCAAATATTTATTTTTCATTGTTTTCTATTAAATGTATAATTAAATGTATAATTGGGGTACCATAAGTCATACATTAAATATTCATGATGAAACGGGACAATATAGAAAGTATATGTACTAGAAGGGCAGTTTATACTTCTAAGCAATTAATTTTATTTTATCGTAATAAATTTTTTATCTTATATTAATGATTTTTTCTCATTTGTTTTCTTATAATTTTCTATTGTATTATTTAATAATTATTAGTTGTAATTATATTTTATTGTATTAGTGACTATGTTAAGAATGTGTAAGTTAACTGAAAATTTTTAACTTTTGTCACTGTTATTTCTTGCTATCCTACTATTTTGTGTGTGACTTATAGTACCCCGGATATGGGGCACCATGAGTCACTTCTTAAAAAATATATTTTTACTTTTTTCTTAAAAACTAATAAATATTTGCTAAATATACTTATTAAATTTTAAAATATGTATTATGCTTTAATTATTGAAAAAATGATACAAAAATTTTTATATTTAGATGTACTTTTAAGAGTACTTTTTTGAATTTTTGACTCATGGTGCCCCGGTCTCCCCTACTTAAGACGGTTTTGAATATAAGAATCGACTATTACTACAGCCTAAATCTCTAAGACATTTTAAATAATAAAACTTGTAAGAGTTGCATTATTAAAAAAAAATTTTTTAAATATTAAATTGGAAAGTCAAGGTAAACGTCTCAGTGACCGAACATGTACCTATGGACAATTTTTTTTACATACGATTTATTATTATTAATCTCAAATGTTTTTCTATTACTATATTATAATATTTAATTGTATTTAAAGATTATTTTAAAAAGCATTTGTAATATATAATAATACAAACAAGTATAAAGTTTCATGCGTCCGTCACTAAGATGTTTACCTTCAATTATTAATTTTTTATGCACTTGACCATGGCATCTTGATAGTATCTTTGTGATGATCATGTGTGTATATCAATCAAACGGATTTTAACCTCCAAATGCATCGGAACGAGACGGAGACGCATAGTCGGCACATGTGTCACCGTAAGATCGCATCCTGGGTGCTGATCGGCGTTGTCGTCGCTTTGGCCGTGGCCAAATTGAAAATAAATACGGTCTCGTTCGTCGTACCTGTGTATCGCCGGACCCACCAACCGGCATAAACGATAACGAAAATAGCGTTTAGCATTTAGCGCACCCGGTATATGTATGCTAGAGGCCGTATGCAGATCCTCGAATGACCGAGGTAGTGCCAAAAACGAAAAGATCACCTTTCTTCCGTCCTTGTTAGTACATTTGCATCACACAAACTTGCTAGGTCTTTCGCAGACCCTATGCATCCTGAGGAAGTTCAACCGCACTTCCGGAATGCCATGGTTGCATAGTTGAAAACAAATCAACAACAGCGTATATAAATAAGCGTGCACTGTCATGATATTCTTATTATGTTTATTTTAATATAATATATAATTAAACTTAATATAATTTTATATTAATTTTTAATATAATATTATATTAAATTTCATATAATTTAAATATAATATGTAATATAATATATAATATATATATCTTTTTTAATACATTATAAATCTATAAAAATTTAACTAAAATGCAATGTTCCTTTTTTAATTTTTGCACCCATAAATGTTTTGATCCTTTAAAATTATTTATAAGAAATAAAGTATAGTGTTAAATATATTATTTTCATTTCAATCAATAATACTTACTAGAAATTGAAATGATAAGAAATAATTTTCTTAAAGTCCGGTTGCATCAACGTTACTTTGACTTTAAGCAAGACTTAAAATACCCTCTGTCTCGTTTTAAAGAAAAGGAAGAGCGAAAGAGAAACAGAGACAGAGAGAAAGCTTTAAGCCTTGCTCAAAATACCAACGTTGGTGCAATTGGGTCTTATAATCTTACAATAATTTAAAAATTTTGTACGTATTTCTATTTTCTTTACGTGACGTAAGTTTTAAAGATCAATTGACGTCACTATCTCCATTGTAAATAGATATTTACTTGGAGTCAAGTGGAAATCCATTATTCATTTTCTCAGAGCTTGACAGCTCGATAAATCCTCGCACTGACATAATCTTCGACAAACGCATCTAATTTTATTTGCATATAACTTCACTCATTTTTTATTTTAATCTTTTGTTCACTTTCTAATAAATAATTTTGTAATTAAAAATTTAATCACTCAATTTAAAATGTACCCTCTTTTAATTTAAAAAATGTTTTTGTCCATCAACATCCATTTCGAAAGCAAAATTATTTAAAGTAGTAAACCAGATTTATAGTTGCCACTATGGTTCGTGAACTTAAGCTGACTTTTAAAATACTTTTTACTGTTTTTGAAACAGTGTTAATGGCGTGATACAAACACTATGCTTTACTTCACGACGAGAATGCATTTGACAAGAGTGGCCTTCACTCAAGAATCCACGCGTCACGTACTGGCAACGTCAATTTGGCTTAACATGTGTTTCATCACCTGCCAGGTACCGCATGCTTAGCGTCACCTGCTTATTTATGAATAATAAAAACTGCTATATATGTTAACATTAAAAAAAAATCAAATCACGTTTAATTGTGATATTCCTAAATCACGCGGTAAGTACGTAGACTTCAAGGTTCAAGGGGAGCAAAAATATATCAAGGGTGCTCATTGACAGGGAAACGTGAACTACGTCGCGAGAGAACAAGATTGAGCAATTGAATGCCTTTTATAGAATCGCATCTGTGCGTGGCTGAATCACGAGTGTATATTTAAAAAAACGACATATAACTGCATATATTTAGAATTAGCGTAAATTGTCGGCCATTGGCAATCGCAGCGCGAGTACGCTACGCGTATACTATCGTCACTGGACACAGCGTGATTCACTTTTGTAAATCGGCGGCAGTGACTTTCACGACTCTGATAACGAGTGAGTATCGACACCTCGTTATAGCTTCACGGGAAAAAATAAACTGCTAATTCATAAAGTGTATTAGAAGTTGATTTGCAGTCTCTGCACCACTCCGGAAATTAAGCGACGCCCCGCTTTTGTACTTCACGCAACGCATAAATAGAGCACGTATACGGTAACGACGTATCTGTATTACGATACTGCAACTTCTCTCTCACATTAGAATGAATCATTGCTCAACGGAACAGAAATAATGCAGGCGGCGTTGATTTATGTCGCGGAACGCGGATAAAATGCGAATGTCTAGCAAAACTGAACGAGTTGATTGAAGTGAGCCAAAGAAAAGAAAATGTTCTACTGTCAGTTACTGTCTGTCGCAAATAAAACGATGATGAATTCTAAAACCTAAAAATATGACTAAAAGTAAGTTTCAAAAATGATTGAATAATTTCTCACGTTATCATACTAATGTACACATTTACTTAGAGGAAAGCTTTTATCACTGAAAAAAATTTCTGGTTAAAAATGAACAAATCAGAAGATTCTGGTCATAACAAACAAAATTCTGGTTATCTCAACTAAAATTATATTAGATGCAACCAAAAAATTCTGATTTGTCCATTTTTAAACAGAATTCCAATTAATACAACCAGACTCTTTTTCCAGTGATCGTATACACATCCTCGTAGAAAACATTTCAATTTTTAGATAAGTTAAACCATACGCCTAATATGTTTCATAAACACAAATCTCATAAATCTACACAAGGGACTGTTCTCTCAAGTGTTCGAGCAGGAACGTGAACGTGCGCAATTTTACATTAACGTTATATAACGCCGTTATATTTCTGCGCAATGTTCTTGGAACTCGTGTTTTCCATCCCTCGAATACGACATCATCGTACGGGTATTAACGTCTTAAATCCGAAACGTGTAATCTCGAGTGCATGCGAACTTGCATCGAGCTGCGACGAAGGCATCAGTGAATGCTGCGGTGCGCACATTCTGTTCTCTTCCCGTCTTTCCCTCATCTTCCTTTTCACGATGGACCTGTTCGACCAATCGTCTCTCGTTGGCGGGGGTTGTGCCATAAATGTCGCATGGCTTATCCCAAATCCCGTCGCCAGATCGGCGCCACCGTGTACACCACCAACGATATACTAGTCCACACTTTTGGCGGCAGCAGCCCAGTCTAAGGTCCAATCCCCGAACCGAACGGTCGCCCGAAATACTTAGGTAAAGGTCTACATCCTTTTCTCTCTCTCTCTCTCTCTCTCTCTCTCTCTTTCTCTCTATATCTTTCTCTTTTTCTTTCTCTCTCGCTAATTGAGACAGGCGAAAACAATTTTTTTTGAGAGAGAAAAAACCGAATAACGGAAGTTGCGGGGAAAAGTTAGCTGCGACGAAAATTGAAAAAGGGGTAACAAAGGGAAGAGAGGGTGATATAAGCGCCATTGTGAGTGCACCTAAAGGAGGAGAGCAAGAAGCTCTCTCTCAATCACGTGAAAAACAGCGAGATATTACCGAACGCGTCCGCGATCTGCTGTGCGAGTGAAGAAAGAAGCGCCTGGTCAGACGTGGTCCTCCTGCGCTGCCGAATTGCATCGTATATCTTTAGTAGGAACTCGCTCTTCCACTAACCACCCACGCAAGACAGCGTGCTAATCACGTTAACTTTCAATCATGTTCTCTATATTTTATTCTATTATTTTACGTGTGTACTTACAAGTATGTGTATTCACAAACTAATGATGTCACTAATTTATCGAAGGCTTAACCCTAGCAAACCACTCATGGGTCCAAAGGATTCTTGCAATTTTTTACATTGCTGTTTTACATTTCCTTGAAGCATTGTAATTAATTAAAAATAAAATATTATTTATTTGATTCATATCAATCTGTCTTTGTCTGACTTCGAGGTATAAATTTCATACGTTTTGAGCTAAAAAAAATACGTATTCAGTCCAGACATATAGCGTAACAAAGTTGCAGTGTTTCACAGATCCTGGTGTGACCAAAAATAACAATGGTTTACTAGGGTTAATAAGGTTGACAAAACAATTTAGGCTAATCATTTTAATTAACGCATTCTTGATGTACATAATATTAATTATGTATAGTATATAGAAAGTAATGTATATAAACAAAGAGATTGTAGAATATTAATTTTATCATTATTGTTACGGTTTATTAAGAGCTTAGTAATAAATTAACGATAATTATTCGAGATTCATTGTCTCAGAAATTCAGAATTTTAATCTAATTTCGTTAATCAATATAATAGTTTATATTATATAATAGTTTATGTTATTTTATCTTTATATATGTTATCTTTACTAGCAAGAGCACTGTCAGTTATGTATAATCGCGACCTCATTCGTGATCTCATGTCTAGGACACTATTTTTGCTTTGCGTGACCAAATTGCTACCCGTTGCTATTTAAAATGATGTTCCTCTCTGACAGCTGTATGTTTAAAATCGAGTAGGAATCGTGCAAAAATATGCGAATATTTCAGAAAAATGAATAAGTAACATGAATTTATACACTTGGATCTGTATTGCAATATATGTACCTACTTTTTCATATAAATATTCACGCGTTATTGTCAATTTTTTGTAAAATTGCATTTACGTTCTAAATAAACATTTGTTGATTACATTATAAGAAATTATTCAATTATTCGATAATTTATCCCCCTGTCAGAAAAAGCAAATTTTACTTCTATATTTGATACAATATATTAATATTTGGCATTTCTTTTAACTATTCGATATATGTTATTATATAATTAAAAATGTGAGATATACGCGTTCTACAGATGATCAAGTGCAATTATTTTATTTTTTCAAATAAAAGTTCCAAAATTCAAAGAAGAAAAAATTTTTAATGTTTTATTGATTACAATAAATTTATTATCGCCATGGGATTAGAAAATTAATAGTAATCCATCACGTCGCAAATAATAAACACAAATTATTTTGTATTTATAAATTTACAAGAAAACCTACGAAGATAATCTGCTCTTAATAGACGATGATTTCATTACAAAAAATCGCTTGGAATACAAAAATGTAAAATGCTTCGTGTACGATCTCTTGAACTTTAAGGCGGTCCTTGTTAACGTCAGAAATTTATCGTCTCCGGTCTTCATGCCGATTGTATTCTCGCCTCCGGTGAATTCTAATTTCGTGAAAGCAAGACTTGGCAATGGCCGCAGCGCGTCGTCTACGGTTTCCTTTTTATTGCAATACCAATTTGAGACTCGCGCGGCACACAAGCGCGCCACGCCTGACGATCGTCGAGCTTATGCCAATCGCCCGCAAGTGGTGGATTGTTTATAATAATTGGCAAAGATTTGTTTAAAGCTTATATAACGCAAGCGCGCGCACGATTGCGTATTTATATCGCTGGCCGAGAATAGCCGATCCGTGCGTTCCGCCAAGACCGATGCACGTCTGTTATAGCCGTTCTCTTTCTACTGTTAAAACTCAAAACAATTTATCTATTAGTTAAGAAATCGTCGCGACTCGAGCTTTGTGTTTCTACCGACTTTTTCGTTTTAGAATTTTCGTTAGAAGGAAAAATCTCGCTGAGCTTAAACGGCACGTCTGATCGGATTGGGGCATTATTATTTTTTGATCACGTCAAAATCAAACACTTAACACTGTTGTAGATGCGATATCTAAGCGATTTAACGTCTATATAACAATCATAAAATCTAATCTAGAAATCAGTTTTGTCGGTTTAAATATACCAAAAAACGCGTTCTTAGCTTCCATTTAAAATAAACTTTGATCTCTCAAAGTTGTGGTTGTGGTATAAAATTGAGAATTATTCTGTTGCTATTATTATCTCGTTTGTATAAAACTTTACTTATCGTCCCTATTCGTGAAAGTGCATAAAAAATGAACATTTTTTAAAATCTGTCATTTTTTTTTATGTTAAATTAACTTTTGTAGGACAGGGGTCTATTTTTAAAATTTTACAACTTTTCTTTGAGTAAGGTTTGTTTATAATTCATTATTTCATCGTAATTTTTCCTCAAAACTCAAAACACTATTCCACGTCATAGTGGCTTTTTTATTCTCTTAAAATTAAATATTAATAGAAATTATGTCTCTCGCATATAAGCTCATAATGATTATGCTCGGAAGATATAAACAAATGTAAACAGTGCATTAAATCAATATTTATTTAATGGAAATTCGTGTGGGCGATGATAATCGCATAATATCGCATATACATATATTCTGGCTAATTGTGAGACGCTGTCGATCACTACTACTTCCCAAAAAACACACCAAGTCAATAGAAAGTCAAAATGATTTCATTTTGACGTCATAAACGTCAAAATAATAATTTGTTTATTACAAAATTTGCTATTTATTGACTGATTTGGTAATACTATTTGTTGACATTAAGAATAAAAATGTAATTGCTTTGATTTTTTGTTAACTTTTGTGTGTTCCTTGGATTCCCACGAGACTATTGTTATTTATCAACTGAGTAACTTACTGCGGTTTTTCCGTGATGCTATAAAGTTTAGCATTAACCTTTATACCGCCGGGATTTTAAAATCCAAAATCATGGATGATTTCTTCATGAAGCCTATAATAATCCATATATATGTCTACTATACATTATTCGATGTGTACGAGTCATCGCATGACGCCATATGGCGTCATGCCGGCGGTCTAAAGATTAATGTAGGGATGTGCGAAAGTTTTCCTTCGTGTGATTTCCTTCGAGACAGTCACGCGGATTCCGGGGGCTTTTAACAAGTCACGCGAGCTCTGCAGAATCTAAAGAAGCGTGCACTTAGGAAATTCGCGTTCGACCACCCACCTCCTGCCAAGTCGTCAACATCAGTTTCTAACACTAGCTAACACTTTCCAATTCTGCCGCGTGCACGAGTCACTTTTATTCTTAGAAATAATCGTTATAATATTTAATCGTGAAATAGACACTTAATAATAATTCTGTTCATTATACAGCATTATATTCTCTAATATAAAAAGAATTTTTCTTCGAAAGTAATATAACAAGAAAATTATTTTTAAATTATAAAGGATTAAAAAATCTGATAGACTAAATCTAAAGCTGTTTGTGTGTGAATATAAACAAATGAATTTACCAACCAGAAAATTTTTACTACGAACGAAAATTATGTTCCTATGGTGTAGCTTTAAACAGTGCTTGTTACATGTAAACAATTTTATTTACATATTTTCTAATATCTAGAAGAGTGATTTCAAAAGCCGTCCGGTAACTATTAACAAAATTCATTATAAAAATTATAAAGTTACTTGAGATGATAAAGACAGCTTATTTTATAAAGGACTAAAGTTTATTCTCAAATTAATTCAAAGTGGACTTTACTTTAACAGGATATATAATGTATTATTATTTAATCAAGCCGTATTATGTCAAGCTTGGCTGTCTTGCGAGGTCGCGTGGCGCGGGATTTTCAGCCAAGAATGCTAAAACGACAGGTGGAAGCGCAGTCGTAAACCGTAATCCTCTTGCAACGCATTGGGAGGGTCAACTGAAGCTTCGCACGTGTAGCAAGAGGAGTGCCAAAACCTCTTGATTATTTAATTTCGTCGTCACATGTCTTTCATGGCACATATAATGACGTATTCATAAGACATGTATACGTGAATTTTTGCATTTTCAATGAATCATAAAATTATTAAATGATAAAAGTAAAGAGAATTCTAATTACGGAATTTTTAATTTTACATAATAGATGTTTCTAATGAAAATAATTAATATTATTTTTTTATAAATTATTAAGAGATTTGTGTTTTAATATTTCTTAGATTCTATTCCTATAGTTCTGACTTTCGAAAAAATTGTGCCATATTGCGTATTAATATCAAAAAATTATCAATATAATATTTATAAATCGTTTTAAATAAGCGATTAACTATTACAATTAAAATATTCATGTGATTAATGTTTGCTTATTCATAAAAAAAACAATAACTAACACATTAACCAAATTGAAATGTTTCAACGATAATTAACTTAGTTCTCAAATCGGCTGTAAGGATAGTGAGACGTATTGCAGTTTTTGGATCTACGTCCCAGATGATTTGACCGCGCCATATATATTTTTAGAAGCCATCTAGATTACCACGCTAGTCCGGATGGGGATTTAATCTACCTTCTCTACTTCGTGTGCCTTTACTACGCGACTTATATCTTCCGACTGCGTTTTTCTTCCGGCGTTTCCTGTATTACTCGACTAAGCGCGATAAAAATGCAATTTCTCGCGACATTCTCATCTCCTGACTCAATTTATATTTATATTACTTGCTACTGCAATATCCAATTTTTAGAAATGTTTGATAAATATCTCTTAATTCTTAGCTTTGACGTAGAAATGTGCGCAAATTGGTTAGCGTGTCAAGCACTCGTGACTCGGCCCATTTTCACGCGGATACGATTTTAAGGTCAAGATATTCTCGGACGATCTAGAGTGGAAGTAGCTACGATGAATCAAAGAATTAAGATTCCGAACACGCAACTTTGAAAATTTTGTTTTTATACCTAACCGGTATATCATTAATTTTTAATATTTCTTACAGAAAGATGTTTTAAGATTAATAGTGTAAAAAAATTGAGTTCTCCAGATAGACATTTTTAAAGTGTAATCTTCATATATCCTTAACTCACAACGCATAAACATAATGAAGAACATAAAAGCGAAAATTTGTATTATACTCGTTCGTCGAGGTCTAAATTTGCAAGGTTGGAGTCGCCATAACTGCGGCGGGGTTTTACGAGGTCATTATCGTTGGGACACACTGGTACCATAAGTCTCCAATGGGGGTTCGCGAAAATCGGTCAAAGTCAGACGGAGACTCGTCGACTATGCTGCCTCGAATGCAGCTTCTTTCAACGCTTCCACCTGTTACCAACTAAAAACGGACCGGGGCCCGGGCAGCCTAAATATAGAGACCGCGAGGGCGCGAATCCGGGACTCTTGCGTCACGGCGCGTCGCTTGTGGGCGCCGCGACGCCTTCCTTTTTACTTACTCGAAAATGCAGACTGGAGAACAAATCACGAGAACTTTGAGAACCTGTCTCTCTCTCTTTCGGATGATTTCTAAATGTTCGAAGACTGAATTAAAGAATTCAATGCAGCAGCCTAACACGCTTTGAAAGCTTGAAAAAATTAATTGAAATTTAATTTTTTCAACTAACTACACTGAAAAAAAGTTTGGTTACAGCCATTAAATGTTGAATGAAAGGACTTCAATCAAATGTTCAGGTAATATAACTATAAACATAGTTTTAGCTTTGTAAATATTTAGCAAGTATTATCGGTAAGTATTATTAGTAATACCATTTGGTAACATTTACTAAATATTTATAAAAATAAAATTATGTTTAGTTATATTACCTGAACATTTGGTTAAAATACTTTACTCAACATTTAGTAGTTATGATCAGACTTTTTTTTTCAGTATATGAGACTCATTTGTTTCTAGTAATTTTGTTCCGATTAAATTACTATTACATATAAACAATACATACATTAGATATATTTCTTTTAAAAAATATGGGACAGTTAGATGCTTCTTATTTTTAATAGATATAAATCTTGAAGTTAACGTATTAAAATGTTATAATTTTGATATTATTTTATGAAGAAAACTTCATAATATCAATCATATTCACATTGGAAATATAATGCCACATACACAAATTATACTACACAAATATACATTTAATACAAATATGCTAAATATATTTTTTAAATAAGACCAACGTGACAAGTAACCCCATTTTCACTTCATCTTCACGACCTTCAGTCATTCCCGCCGAGAATGAAACAGGAATATCTGAGAAACCGCTCGGACGATCCAGGGCGACTATAAAGTACGCGTGACGCTAAAATTAGCGGCATCCATTGCGTCAACAAAAAGAAAAACGACGCTCCCGTTTTGTGTCACAGGCTACTATTGGCCGACGCGAGAAACCAATCTTGTTTTCTCACGCGATCAAAAGCGGGACGCGGCTACGTGACAAATTTCGAATTACAAATCTGAATTTGACAATATCAATTTATTATTTTGTCAATTTAATTTAAAGATGATGATATAGTATTGTAATAATTGTTGCATAATTTGAAAAATATCTAAAAAAATGTTGTATAAAAAATATGTTACATAAAAAATAAAAATTGATTTAAAGCTTTATATTAACTTTTCTCATATCCCAATATCGTCAAATATTTTTAACGATTAAATATAATAATAATATAGCATATTTATGATTTTGTTTTTAAAATATTTATTAAATTTATAAAGTATACGTTTTTCGTAAAAAAAAAAAATGTTAGTAACGGTTCGCAAAATTAACAAATTAAAAGAAGTGACATTAAGCAAAAGAAAGAAAGAGAAAAAAGAGAGAGAGAGAAAGAAAGAGAGGGAGAATTAATTAAACTATGGTTGATCTATGAATTCATCTACCGGAATTGTATCACGAATAAATAAAGGGAATGACTGCGTCATGATAATGGATTGCGGAAATGGAGTATAGTTTACTGAGGCAAGGTTGAAAAAGCACAGCCGCACCTACGCAGGCCGTTAAATTTAAAGATGGCTTATGCAATCACCTTAGGTCACAAGAATTTTGTGTAACGTTTATTTCCTCATAGGGGAACTTTCCGTGATTGTATTTAAAAGACTTTGTAATTTATAATATTCTTTGCAATTTAATATCCTATTCACAAATTAAATAGTCAAAACTTTCTCAATATAAAACATTTTCGGAACTTTCTTTATTACAGTTTTTCCACATTTAATAATTGTTTTCTAATTTCTTTTAATTTACTAAATTACTAATTGCAAATGTGCAAGAGCACAGCTGGGCGTGTATTTGAAATATTTTTATTTGAAACACAGTATTTCGCATCTCGTCCTGCGTTGACTCTTGTTAGCTTTAAATTGGTATTATTATTGTTTTAACTAGTGAAAGTTCGGTCAAATTATATATTCAATTTTATTATTTAAATAATAAAATTGATTTTCAATCTTAGTATTTGAAATACAAAATACAAAATACAATTATCTTACAAATACTATTTTTTAAATATAAACGTATTTCACATATATGCCCAGATCTGTGCAAGAAATTAAAAGAAAGACAAAATTTTTAAATTTGATTAAATACTATCCTCTTTACAACATTATCCTAATAAAGTTACTTTGATTAAAATTTCAAGTTAAAAAATTTATTCATCAATTGTTTAATAAATTTTTTAAAGTTTTATGAAAACCGAAATAATTTGAAAATATATTGCAACTATATCCTTCTCAATCTTTTTCTCTTTCCGGGAATCTTTAAATGTACGACAATCTTTACATTCTCTCACACGAGAAAAAGCAGTTCCTATAAAGATTCGAACAATTAGAAATTATTATGAATAATTTAGTAAAATCTTGTATTCGTTCGTAACCTAGCGATTCATAAATCTATGTTTTTGGTAAAGATTACATGCAACTTAATTCTATTTATTTTTTCCTCATTACAGCGAACGAGTGTGGTTAGCAGTTCAATAGAGTGGCAAAATGGATGCGCGATTCAGAAGCAATCTCGATATGATCGGACGCAACGAGCCCATCACAAGGAAGGCGAAATTTTGGCAGAGTTACGTACGGGCTCTGAAAGGTAAGACCCTTACTTCACATCTGCATGAATATCTAATATTTCTCTTCAAATTTCCAACAAAAATATGCATTCTGCATTATATACATATTCATATTAATTATATAGGATTTTTCGCATATACAGCAAGATGTAAACCTCTCTACAAATTTCTTGTATTTTGTCGTATATCAATTTTGCACGCAGCATTTAATCAATTTAAGTTGTAGGTTGTTCATATCGATCATTATGTATCTTTTATTTAATTTTAATCGCACATGTTGTTCATCATATAAATAAAATCATCGGAAGGATTTATCTTTTAATGATACAAAATGGAAACAGGCACTGACGACATCAGAGCTCCTGAGCACACTCACAGGCCTCGCGGCATTTTCCGCTCGGATTTTCCTGAGCTGCATTCCACCTCGTGGCCGTTTGGAAAGTCAATCTACGAAAATCCGATTCACGCAGCCGACCGTATTAATGTTCCCGGATACAGGTGTGTACGTGAATTAGAATCACCGCACATACATTCAGTAACCGTAAATGTAAGACGTACCGTAAAAACTAATCAATCAGAGCAGAAGTTTTTGATAATTCTAGAGTAGGAGCCATGACACACAAAAGAATTTAAGCAGTAAAACGTAAGCAGTAACCGAATTGACCAATCACAGTAAAGTAATAAGGCTATAATGTAAGCAGTAACCAATCCAACGTGTTGATTTCCTTACTGCTTTTACGTCTTGCTGCCTTAGGCGTTGTCTACAATATGCGAAGTAAGCTTGGTTTAAGAAGTAAGAGTAAGAAATTGACCAATCACAGTCGATTAATCTTTTCACAATCGACTGTGATTGGTCAATTTCTTACTCTTACTTCTTAAACCAAGCTTACTTCGCATATTGTAGACACAACGCCTTAAGGCCCGTCTACAATACACGGAGTAAGAAGTAAGAGTAAGAAATTGACCAATCACA